GACACCAAAGCAAAATTTCCGGTCACACGCCAAAGGTCATACGATCTTGTGCAATGTTTATCATCAGCCGACGAACGATTGAAGTGATGAAAGGTTTTAGAAATCGAAGTCATTAGTTTGTGATGAATTTTCAATCTTTTGGCCTCCTGACTGAAGTAAAAACTCTTGCAACTCATGCTTCTAAAGGACCGCAGTGACATGTTGTGACTTTATTTCGATTCACGGCCGGATTCTGGCGCAGTCGCTGAGCAAACGTACGTTTGTCTTTTGGACCTTTTGGCTTAAAATTATGGATTTTGTGACTCAAACCGACGCAACAAAAGTTGGAAATAACTTTCCTTGCCGTAAAAACGTGTTACAAGCAATGGTGAGTAATCCTTTCATGTAAAACCTTTCTTTTAGTTTGACAACCGTCCACAAGCCGTCTAATTTGCATAAATTTCCCAATTCAATTGCTCTCACCGCTTGCTTTGGTGTCAGGATGGTATTTGATTTCCAGAGCTAAAACTGTCCAGTAAGTTAGTAGAAACGCCAAGGTTCCATTTTATATTGATTTTATGAGCAAGCATCATATATCAGAGGCCTTTTTTAATAGTCAAAGTTGGCCTTCGTTTTCTAGCATGTCTAACGTCACAAATATGACCTCTTTAGACTTGTCGATTATAAAAATACAAGACATTGTTTTTCAAATTTTCTTTTAAGGTTTTCAGGAGTAAGAACAAAATAATAATTCGGTGAAGTTTCAGTGTCAGGGAATGTTTCTTACGCTTTCACCCTTTTCTCGAAGTTGCCATTGCATCCTGCCGTGTTTTGTTCGAAAAAACAGGAATAAAATCGATTTTTCAAACTTTTTTTAATTTTTCCTTTAAAATGAATCGTTTGAACCCCAAACTATTTTTCCTTAAATTAGGTCACTAAAAGGGATGTTTTGGCAAAATAATAAAAAATTCGATTTTTTGACCAGTGTCTTGCGATTCTCGATTTTCTCAGAAAATGGCTCTTAAGTGCTGAATCTTTAATTTGCCTTTAATTCTACTTTAATGTCCCATGAGTAAAACGTCATCTGTTTTAGATTGCCTTTAATTTTTCTTTAATGTACTATAAGGGGCTCAATTCATCTTTAATTTGCCTTTAAGTCTTCTTTAATATACCATAAGATAGGGTTCGAAATAATAACTGTCTACCTGTCGATTTCAGGTAATTTTAGGAAGTGACAGGTAAAAAATATTGATGCCTGTCGCTGGCGACAGGCAAGAAAAACCTCAATAATTCATAATTTATCAATTTGAATAATATTTCCATCCATTTTCCACCAGCATGCGTGCTCACTCGTTCAGTTCATCAGAGTTCTCGCATGGGACTCGCACGGTATATGCGGTAGTTACCAGACTCTACTCAATAAAAACGAGATGATGCAATCTTTGTAGTGCGCATGACGAGATAACAAATGCCATATGACTTGCTTTGCTTCTTTGTCGATAAAAACATTATAATCGGATAATGATATGGATCGCTTTCTGCTAAAGCGAAAAAGTGCTAACGAAGCGGAAGTGGAAGTTCATGTAGAAGAGAATTTGGCAGCACTGACAAGTTCAATGAGAAATGGAAAGATGGGCGCCCGTGGTTGTCGTTGGAGGATGGAAAGATGTTGTGTTCTTACTGCAAAGTGTTTGACAAAACAAGTAGAAACAAATTCATTTTATTACTAATATTGTCAATTGTAAAACCACAGTTCAATTTTGTTATCGCTAAAAAAAGGAAAATAAATGTTTAAATTATTGTTCAGCTTGGATGTTGGTGGAGACAGGTGAAAAAATATTCTACCTGTCACCAGACACAGGTAAAGAGTCTGGGAACATTTCGACCCCTGATAAGAGGTTTAAAAAACCTTCATTTGTGTTGCCTTTACTCTTCCCTGAACTTTATTAATTTGCAAATTGCTTAATTTTAAATGACAGGCGTTTCAGCACCTTTTATCAAGGTTTCTAGAATTGAAATAATAAGGCATTCTCTCCCCTAGAATCTATATTATTTTGAGCAATAAGATTACTGAAAGGTGATTAAAACTGCGGTTCTCTGAAATCCATGACTGGTTCTTGTAAAGGAAAAAATATAAACACAGTGAAACATACATACAAACTCCATTTTAAAACCAGACTGTTTATTGTTTCTTTGACACTTGTCGGTCATGTACAATACCCATGTATTAAATTAATTATTTGTTTCTTTTATCAACAAGGAGTTAATTGACGAACATTTTTTATGGAATAGACCAAGGACAAGGAATTAAAAAAGGCTACATAAATCTCTTTTCTAATTTATTATAAGTTTGCGATCTGATAGGAAAGATCTAAAGGTTATTTTTAATGACACATTTTAGTATATACCAAACAAGTGAATCATTGTTGCTTTTTGCGCATTCTTATTGGTTAACTCGGAGGTGATTCTGATTAGCAAACTACTACTCACCTCCATGCAGATGAAGAGAAACAAAATGGCTTAACGTTTCACTTTGGTTTAAAGTAATTTTTGGTACGCTAGTTATCCAGCTTGTGTGGTATACACTAAAACAATATTATTCACCTCAGTGTCAGAGTAACTGGTGGATATTTACGTCGCCACTTTGCAGCTCGGTAAATTTCCACAACTATTTGCCTCCACGGTGAACAATTGTTAAATATAACAGAACACTGTACATATACTTCATTGTAATCTGAGTAAAGATTATAAATTATAGCATATTCCCGGCATGTGCAATCGATAAAACCGATAATCGATAACATTCGATAACAATCGATAAAAATTAGTAAATTGTATCGGAAATCGATTAAAATCGATAAAAGGACACGTTGTGAGTAATCGATAATTATCGATTTTTAAATTAATGTTATCGATTTTATCGAATTTCTAAAATGTATCAAATCTTCCATAAAAACACTCTTACGATTCAATGAATCAAGTAGGACGAATTTAAAGATTTATTTAACAAATCGATAATTGAATGAATACTGATAATCAAATAATATTAACACGATTCCCTGGCATGATTCAACGGGGAAACGCAACATAACATAACCGCTTTTTGTATTTACTCAGAAACTGTTCAAGCTAAATGTCGTAATGACATCCTACAAATACATGTACTACTGATGCGAAGCTGCGTGGTTGTAATGCTAGACATTGTCTCCAGTAAATGTTTTGTCAGGAAAACCCTCGCCGCCGCAAAAATCATACTACAAATCAGAGCTAAAATCATTCTATAAATAAGTAAAACGAAGTAAATGATGAACTCCGCAACTAAAGCAGAAGAGAGGTAATGAAACAAAAATAACTGATATAAATTTGAAAGGAACTCAACATTAAGAAGCTCAGAAAACATGTTTGTAAATGCCAATAAAATTAACATTAAAATGATTATGGTCAAAATGCGCCTTTTTCCTCTGTGGATCATACATGATCCACAAAGGCAGAGGATGCGTGTCATTTCTAAACTGATTCCAATAATTTTGGCGAGAGCGTTCTGAGGTTTTTTTTGACTGTGGACTGATTTGCTGCTGTGGGCATGAGAATATGTTGCTTCTCTGTGGCTCTCATGGACTTCTTTTTACTTTTTCCATTAGTTGGGCCTTTGTTGAATTGTGTTTAAAACTGACACCCATCTCCTTTAAAACCTCTTTCAGTAATGCCACACTCATCTCTTCTGGGGGTCCTTGTTTCTTTTTTTTCTTATTCTAGTTTCTTTCTCCTTTGACTCCTCTTCTTGTCTTCTTTTCTCTGTTTCTTGAAGTTGCGGCAGCATTGCTAATATATTTTTGACATCATCGCCATTTACTTCCAAAACATTCTCCCGTTCAATTAGAGTTAGTTCGGCTATAAGGGATTTCATTGGGCACCAGACGAAAACGGTTTTTAACTTGTAAAATCCAGGTGTTAGTTTCAGTGTCTACCGGTGCTACATTAACACAACAGGTCACTGTGCTACTCTTGGAATCCTTACTATCACAAGTTAAAATAGGATATGCACTTTTTGCACAGGGATTGCAATACATTCGGATGACTTTACCAATTATAAGTCCTTCCTTGCCCATCCAAAAAGCAGCGAATGAGTTACAAATCAAGTCTTCCTTTTCTTGCGATCTCGATATTTTTCCAATGCTGTCATAATAATTTACCTTGGAAACTGCCATCCAGCGTGAATTTCTTGAGGTAGCTGGCATATACTGTTTACCTTGCTGTAGAGACAAGAACTGGGCTATGTGATAGTAGACGCCGTTGAACTCAACGTAGCACGTTGACATCTTGGCATTCTGTAGTTTCCATTCTCGTCACGTATGACACGATTCTGCTTATTTGCTGATAGTGGGTCCTTCTCCAGGATATCCTTGTCTTGATTGCTGCTAACAACTTTCTTTTGAGAAGCGTAACCAGCGAAGGGTGATCCTTACAGAAATAAGTATACGCTTCTCGCGCTTTGTCATTCGGAAATTTAAGTCCCAAACATACCTCGTGAAACCACTTGTTACATCCAGGAAATTCACAGCCAAGCCAGTTAGTTTCTTTTGGGGCACGGAACGTACTTTCTCTGTATCGGCAACTACCCAAACGATAGAAAACACAATTAGTAGGCGCGCCATCGTCATACTCTTAAATCACCCTCTTCTTCGCTTCATGTTTTCATTATATTGTTCAGTATTTATGGTGTTTTTCTTTTGCCTTAGCTGCAAGATTGATGAAAAAGTAGTGATTTCGTTTTCACTTTCATCTATGGCGTTTATCAATACATCGTTTTCAATTTCTAGCAAGTCTTCTACTTGTAAAATGTTATTTTCGTCAGGTTTATTTGCGGTACTTAACGGATAAACATCTGTGGTAGGATTTATCAACACAACACCTCCTTCTTTTGTGCTTGTCACGACATTGGCCCTTTCTAGACTGGCGATCATTCCTAACAGTTCGGCAGTCTTGATCGCCTCCTTCTCGGCTTCTTGCAAACCCAAAGTCAGTTCTGCGTCCATATCTGTGGGCCACTTTTTATCATTTAACTGGTTGAAGGGCTTGGGATTCATTTCCTTTAGCTTCTGAATTCTCCTTGCAAAGTCTAATAAGTCTAACAACGTCAGGTTTGGTTTCCCGCGGCAAAATCCACGTAAACTTGAAAATAAAACCTCGCAAGAATCGGAACCAAACATCCAAGGCTCATAAGGAAGTTCCGGATAATAAATTGCATAAAGTTTCATTGAAATAATGATAGAGTGTCCAGCCAGAATAACATCGTCATAGGTCTGTCCTGATATAAAGTAATGGTCAGTAGGATATCCCTCCATCTTAAGCCAAGCTCTCCAGAGTCTTAAGAAAGTTACTGGGAGCCATGCACGCTTTGCCCTTTCACGAACGGACAATTCTTTTTCGGTGAACGCCGAAAAAAGACTTTCGCCAACCTTGAGGTACACTCTCGTTGCAAGTGAGGCCTTTTCATTCCAGATTTTTAAGTAGTGACGAGCCTCAGGTTTTAACAGTCGTGTAGCTGCGTCCACGTTCTGCTTATCGCGGACATAAACGTCGCTTTTCCACAGACCACACTCCAATTTGAAACTCAAATAAGTTTGCATTAAATGTTCGATCTGTGCGATGTTGCTTCCCATTAGTAAAATTCTTTTCACATTTAGTAATTGATTTCTCCATTTTTTAAAATATGCCTCCAATCAGGAAACATCATTGTTTTACATATTCTGCAATCTTCCGTCTGAAATGTTCTTGCTGCAAAATCAAAGCCCTTGTAATCTAGAGTAATCTGCTCTTCTGATAGATCATCATTTCGTTTGTGCTCTTGAAAATAGTGCTTACGGAACTTTGAGTCTCCATCCGCGCCTATCCCCAAGATTTCGATATTGTGGGTAGATCCCATTTCCATTGTTTGAGTCATCCATCCTTTTACGGTCTGGTAGTCCTGTCCTTTCACTACGGGGCTTATACAGAGAGTAAAACTTGGTGCGTGTTGGACCATAGGAGATAAGACGAAAAGCATTAGCCAGTTTTGCTTTTTCATATGACTCGGAGTTCACTATGTCAATTATATCTTGTGCTGTCGACACAGTAACTTCAGTCTCCGTTGCTAAGCCAATTATTTTATTTCCTCTTACGCCAATGTTGCAATTAAAGTTGTAGCATCGATTGCAAGAATAAATGGCCCAGTGTAACCAATCTTTTCGTAAAAGACTCTAGCCATCGAAAAAGATTTATCGGTGAGGACCGTTGGAATGACATAACTGCTTCGGCTTTGCCTGTAGATCGTTGAGAGGTGTGGTCCACCCAATCTTATTCTAACAATTTTGGCCAGAGCTGCGCCCCGTAGTTTAAGATTATTGCGAATAGAGACTTAGTTTCATCGGACCATGTTTTTGATTCCTTTCCTCTGTTACAGATCAAGTCAGTTAGAATTTTTATCAAAGGATCTGTTTCTCCATGTTTTTCAGTTTTCATCAAACAAGCCAGTTTTAATGCGACTTCTGGTACATGATCGTTCTGATTCCTTTTTGAATTAATGTCTCAAGTCTTTGCACTTCAATTTCAAAATTCACCACTTTATTTTGCAGACTTTCAATTTTTTGGCTGTAGTAGGTTTGCAAGTCGGTATAGCCTAGCAGGGCGTTGACATATCTCACTGCGAGGTCATCTGTTTGTTTCTGAACAGAAACGCCGTCCGCGATAATGTCCGTTACAGCAGCACATCGACGAAATACATCTGTATAGAGTTGGGTGTTAACTTTCACAGCCAAACAACTTTGTATCATAGTTTCCAAATGAGTTTCTAAATGTACACGATTAGCAGCATCTTGCTCTATTTTTCGAATCTTTTCCTCACTGGCGCTTTGAAAGATTTCGATTTCGACGTTTGTGAGAGCTGGGGCTTCTTTTTCTCCCCCAACAAGAGCATCAGACAATTTGCATCCGAAGTGGGTTTCTTTTTCAATTACCGCTATCCTTGTAGCCTAAAAGAAATAGGTTGATTTTGAACTGAGTACTGTAAGACACTATTAAGCTACTTACGTTATCACAGGGAATTCTATCATAGCCTCGTAGAATGTAGAATTTTAAACAAAATCTTTGTTACCCGAACTTTTTTATATGCGTCCGTTCTGCCTATAAACGTCCTCATCAGTCAAACTATCAAAATAAAAAAAATATAATTCAAAACTAACTTACCTTGTTTATCAATTCATCTTCTACAAGACCTTCCGCTGCTTTTCGTTTTCTCTCCATCGACTGCAGATCCAGTTGGGTTTTCCTCGCCTTTTCACTAGTGCCTGTAGACTTAGTTGTAGGTTTAGTTGACGAAGAACTCCAAAAGGAAGTTATCTTTTTCGCATCTGCACATAAACAATGGGAAAGAAAAACGTCAAGCAATTTGCAACATTAGGTGATTATTATATATTGTCTCAGTTGGGAATTACTAACTGAAGTAAGAAAACTCATTTGAATACTTACTTCCGGTAAAGGTTTTGATGGGTTTATAATCAGCGGTTAATGTCCACCCTGATAGCATTTTATGCCTCTCTGTTTCGCTGTGACGACGAAGAAGCCATGCGAGCTTGGTGACATCTGTATATGTGACGACCTTTTGACACGGACGGCAGTACAACGAAGAAGCATAGTCATCATCTGACCTGAGTTGATCCGTAAAGCCTAAACCTTCCAAGTCAGTTATAATTTTGGAAAGTTGGGTACCGGAAACATAGTATTGTGTAACACAGTTCAAAAAGAGGAAAGCCCCTAACAAATAAGGGGAATACATTTTGACGTTGTTGTCTGGCTACCGCATTCCTTGAAAGTAACGTTATATCCACGTTTCAATGCAAATTGGAGAAGGTGACAAGCCAACCAGTCGGGTTTGTTGCAACTGTTTGAAATTGTACTTTGTACCACGCTGTCTGGTACCGAATTTGAGATAACCAGATGTAAGGGCTTTTAGGACGGTGAAATATCTTTCATTTAAGATGGGATACCCTGGTGGGATGCTAACAAGCCAAAGATGTATTGTCAACAAGCAATAAAGAACGAAAAATCAGGTACAAGTGCGTATGTCAAATATATTATATTTCGGGACATTCCAGTGCATGTGGGTGTAAAACATACAAATAACAACACAGTTTTTTTTTTTTTTTTGCCTTGCAGGATTATACATGTATTTTATTTCAGTCGGCTTTTCATTAACAATGGTTCATTATGAAGACCACACAGCTTGATTCTATTCAGCCTGCACTCCAAGATCACTCAGTCTAGCCATCAGTAATTTCACTTCACTGCTGGTCGTATCACTTGCTATGACCTTTATCTGTAGATTTATTCCGCCTCCTTTACGCCACCTCCCTACGGGATCTGGAAAAGGACTTCCAGTAGCAATCCTGCATATGACCAAAAATTGCAATATTAATAACTTAAGGTAAACGATTCATCTTTAATGTCAGGGATTACGACAAAGGACTATAAAAGCCTATCAATCAATGGCTAATGAGATAAGTGTCTGTTTACCAAAATCTGGAATTTGTTAATGCGCCACAATTACAAAAATAAAGATCAGAATCGACCTTAATCTTACCCTTTCAGCACAGTAGATGTTTTAAGTCCCAAAGTACTGGTACTAGGTCTTTTTCCAAGTGTCCCACCCTTCCTTGGCTACATAGCACTTGAAAAGCCTTTCCTCTACTTCCAATCTTTCTGCGGTTCAAACACATCTCCACAGAAATGCCAAAGCTACACTCGTGTAAGCCCTTTACGGTCGCTTCAAACTGAAGAGTCTCACTTCCCGATGACTTTCCACAAACATCACTCCTGGAACTGCTTGACATTTTGCAACTAGCAAAAGACTGCGAACGATCTAAAAACGCTTGATGTTTACGGGCAGTTAGTCTAAACATGTACAGGGAAAGATTCTAATGCTTGTGTCGCAATATTTCCGCGTGTATGTATTGATAAGATAAGCGGCCATCTGACCGTGGTCAGTCATGTCCACATCACGTGCGTTTTAAAAGCGTGTTACTTGGATGTTACTTTGGTGGTCCTTGGTCACTTCAGACATCTCCTTCAGTACTAGGGAAAGTAGGGCTTAGAAATGAATTCTGTAACATTTAAAGTGACACTTTCGATAAGGAGGACAGAAGTGCTCTTATGACTTTTGTTCAAGAAAAAGGGGATCTATCGAAGAATGCGCAGTTCAAGCCGCCCGCCCGCAGGAAGCAGAATCGTTGTTGATTTCCGAAGACAAGAATGCTGAAAGTAAGTAATTTACACCATTCCGCTTGGAAATATGGTCACCAGAATCTGTTTTTAAAATAGTGTGCAACGGACAGTCAGAAGTCCTTATTCTTGGCATTGTTTTGAATTTTTAGAAGACGAAAGGAACCGGTCCAGACGCCAAAAAGCCATAGCGGATGGTGTCATTGCCTGGCTAAAGAAGAATAGCGTAAGCCAGGCATTATTTGCTGAGAAAATTTTAAGCAGAAAGCAGTCAACACTCTCTGACGTTTTAAGACAGCCGCCGGGCGAGCTACCAAAAGGCCAAGGCAAATGGATCTCGAGAAAATGGAGAATTTTCTCAATGACAAACAGGAGCAGCAACAACTTATTGCTCTCAAACAAGGTATTTGGGTTTTATATCATTTTCAAGTATATTCTAGGATATAATTCAAGACGGACATAATCTACTGAGGGGGGTGAGCAAGGAAGGTCAATCCCTTAAAAGGGCTTTAAAAAGTCGGTATCTTTTCTTAGGTAAATGACCTAAATAGAGAGAAAAATCGGAAATTTAGGGTAGGAAAATGGACGACGTTTGCCTTAAGCCCAGCTAAAACAGGGTTAGTTTACCGTGGCGGACCGCCTCTACCCACCCAAGGGTATATCAAGTAACATCCCTCCCCTTCTCCCAAAATGCCTTTATAATGACATGAGACTCTTTGTTAGGAAAGAGAAAAGCAGCTGTTAGCTCCGATGAGGAGGAAGTGAA